TAATGTCACCGTTAGTTTGAGAAGATTTATTTGGCTCCTCGAGAGTTGAACCATCAACAAGAAGTGGATTTTCTATTTCAAGTGCGGTTTCTTCGACATCCTCTTCCATGTAAATAGAGCCATTCCTTGCTGATTCAGCTTGAGCCTGCAAACAGACAAAGCAAGAAATATAAAATCTCGAGCGTAGAAGAGATTAAAGGACTAAAAACACAGCTGTAGTTATAAAATTTGAGTTGTGGGACTTCTGCATTGAACACCCGAAAAGAGTAACGACTAAGAAAAGGAACAATTTGGAGAGTAAATTTATGACATAAGCCGCTAGTATCCACTCTCTGCAAAGATACAGTGGTATTACCTTCATAGACCTTTTGCCCATATCAGTTCCAGTGATTTGACGTAGTGCCACCGTAGCATAACATCCGGATGGTAGGCTAAACTGAACTTGTAGGGCCATCAAGTCACCAACCATCTTGCTCTCGTCGATAGCTCGGGTAGTGATGCCATTCTGGAAAACAATGGTGAAAAGAGAAAGGGGTTAAAACCACAGGAAGTAACTGACCTGTAAATGGGCCCTAGCTTCGGAGTAACGCATGAATTTCCATTCTACATCTTTAGGGCATATTAGCATTGCCCTAGATGTCTCTCCCAAAGCAAATCGGCTGAATTTTTTCCATATGATATTTTTGAAAAAGTAAGAAGAAGATAACTTACTCTTCAAGACTAGAGAACGACGAGTAGGATAAACCATCTTCCTTCAGCATTTCCTGATACCATTCACAAACTATGAAAGCAAAATTAGAACGATAACGATACGAAATAGAATCTTACCGTAATTTTTTACGTAGCTCGCATTTTCTCCAGGGAGAGGTATGTAGACGTCAAAAATAGAAGCATCATCAGCAAGCTTCTGACCGTCTTTACCGAGGTCATCAGGGAGAACAACTGTCCCCTTCTCAGCAATTCGGCGGGATACCACCTTTAATGATAACAAAATGTTAGACTCTACGTGATCAATGTGGTGAAAATGAAAGGTTACCTTATTCCATAGTAAGCTTTGATACGCGTGCACATA